ATAACACATTTTGATTGGTTGTTCGCATTGATCATAAATCTGCAATTACTCAACTTTAATTTTTCCCAATTTTTTCTATTGTGGTAAAATACATGTAACATAAAATTTACCATCTTAACCATTTTAAGTGGACAGTTCAGTGGCATTAAATACATTCATAAAGTTGTGCAACCATCATTACCATCCATCTCCAGAACTCTTGTTTTGTAAAACTGAAACTCTATGCCTATTGAACAAGCGTTCTGCATTCTTCCTCTCTCGCTAGCCCCTGGCAACCTCTATTCTACTTTCTGTCTCTATGATTTTGACGACTCTACATATCTCATATAAGTGGAATCATATAGTCTTTGTCTTTTGTGATTGGCTTATTTTATTTATCATAATGTCCTCAAGATTCATCCATGTTGTAGCATGTGTCAGAATTGTCCTCCTTTTTAAGGCTGAATAATATTCCATTGTATGTATATACCATTCATCTGTTAATGGACACTTGGGTTTCTTCCACATTTTAGCTACTGTGAATAATGCTGCTACAAATGTGGGTGTAGAAGTACCACTCTGAGATGCTACTTTCAATACTTTTGGCTATATACCCAGAAATGGAATTGCTGGATTATATGGTAATCCTATTTTTAATTTTTTGCAAAGCCACCGTACTGTTTTCCACAGTGTCTGTACCATTTACATTCCCACTAACAGTGAACAAGGGTTCCAATTACTCTACATGCTCACCAACACTTGTTATTTTCTGGGTTTTTTTAATAGTATCCATTTTAACATGTGTGAGGTGGGGTCTCACTGTAATTTTGTATACCCTTACAGAGAATGTTGAAGTAAAAAACCTTTACATAATCACAGATTAGGTGTGTAGATGAATTAGGTTTTTTATTATTCTAGTTAACAGCTTGATCCATCAGGTATTGAAAAGAAAATTAAGACAATTGTCCACTAACATGAGGTCCATCTGCTACCAATAGTGACAGAAACTATATAGTATAGTTGTTAAATTCCAAATTCAGAGAGACCTAGGATCAAATCTTACCTCTGCTGCCTACTAGCAATGTGATCTCTAAGACTCAGTCTCCATCACTATATAATAAGAATAATAATATTCCTTATGTCAAAAGGTTCCTATGAGAAATGAGATCTTAAACAAGTTAAATCATTTAAGAGTTAAATGAGATAATGCATAAAAAGCGTGGCACACATTGAGCACTCCATAAATATTATCTATATTAATGAGGAAGATTCTTACTTAAGCATGTCTTGCATTCTAAAAATGATAAGCAGCTTTTTGCCTGAAATTGATCCCTGAATGGTAATAGGAAAACCTTTTCCAACAGGGGCATAAAAAATGAGGCCAAAAAAAAAAAAAAAGAAAAAAACAAATCCTAAAGGGATAAGATAATGTTTCTAATCTTAGAGTGTAAGACAGAATACATTTTTTCACCATTTGGCAAATCGGGGATCTTTTAGGGGAGCCAGAAGAAGGCACATTCGAAAAGAGTTAAAACAGTGTTTTTTAAAATGGAGAAATTCCCCTCATAAAAAATTTTGCTCACACCAAGTTGATGGGACATTCGTTAAGAAATAAACTTTTCATTGCTTTGGTGATACAAGCAGGGAACCAGTCAATATCCTGGAAGAGCCAACTTGCTAAATGTAGATGCTTCTTAAGAATGTTATTTTTACTCATCAAAATAATATTATTGATATATTGAATATCATTAAGGTTTTACCTTATAAAAGAGACTGTGCTTAAACATAGGAAACCAAATATGAATGTGACATAGCCCTGCCCTCAGGGTTCTTAAATGGGAAGATAGAATGTACCCATTTAAAAAACGCCGTACTCAGCATCAAGGATTAAATGTCTTATAACTGATGATTGATAGCACAAGAATGACTAATTCTCATCTAGAAAGAGGAGACCTGACCTCTAGTTTTGGTTCCACCACTGATTAAGTTTGTAACCTTGGAAAATTCACTTAAATTCTTTGAATTTCCAATTTTTCAAAGGCCAAACAGAGATGATACCTGCCCTACCATTTCCATAAGGTTCATGAAAGTTCAAATGAGCTAAGGTTTATGAAAAGACGTAGTAAATTATAACACTACTGCACCGATCTAGGCTATGATCATTTTCCTTCCTCTGCCTCCTCATAGAGTGAGACTCTAACAAACTTTCTCTTTTTTGTTTCCTGTCTCAGCTTATGCAATATCTGAAAGTTGTATCATTGCGTACATGTATTGTGTGTGCATTATCAAGTCTTATCAAGCTGAAGCAGCAGATCTAAACACAGACATCTGGACTCCGAAGTAATATTCCAACACTTAATCCTGAAGACAATAGGGTATGCCTACTTCAGAAAAGGGTTAGTGTCACCCTCAGTTTACAGTGGAGGAAACTGAGCATTCATTCACGCAGCACTTACTCATTAAATGTTTATGAAGAGCCTTCCCTGTAACTGAGGTCCTGCTGTCAACTGAAAGGATGAGATCAAGAAGAGGCAGTTCTAACATTGACCTTTGCTGGTAACTTCTTGGCATTCATCTTCAATCATTCATCTTCCTGTCCTTTCGTTTCCTCCTCTGTAAACTGAAGGTTGGTTAGTTGCAAAGCACACAGCAGTGTTATGCCTGAAAAAACTGAAAGATAGAGACAATTTGAAACAAAGAAGGGTAGGAAACCCCTTTCCACTCAGCTGTGAGAAGGATGGTGATTGTTACTCTTGGGAGTTATGAGAGTGGGCAGTGGAAAAACAGTTTGTTGGTGGAGCCAAGGTGAGCATGGAGTGGAAACAGGAATTTGAGCGAGTCATGTAGTTGGGGAGGGAGCTGGGGCAAGATAAGCCTGCTAGCTTTCAGACCGGGAGCTTCCGGGGTAATTCTCAGGAAGGAGCCAAGAGATTGCTCTGTGTTCGTATTTAGACAATTTTAAAACCAAAATTGTTATGGACCAGAGGAATTTTTGTGGGATGATGAGAGATCTCAAATTTTGTCAATAAGCCTGAAAGTAGATGATGGCTCTCCACTGGATGATTCCGCACTTTTTTCATCCTGGATTGTCTACATTTTGTGTGGGTGTGCCTTCTCAGCTTATTGCGAAACATATTAAACATAAGTGAAAGCAATATTTAACTAAAAGATAAAGAAAAAGAAAGTTAATAAAATAATATTCAAGATAGGAACTGAAATGGGCTAAGGGAGAGTCCTGAGAGGAAGAGAATTAACGTGCAGTAAACTCCTGTGAGTGCCTCCTGTGCTCTGAGAACTTTCATATCCACAAAATAACCTCATTATAGCCACACAAGGTAGTTGCTCTACAGATCTGAAAACTGAGGCACGGAAAGAGTAAGCAACTTGTCTCAAATCAGGAAATAATGACGTCCGTGAGCTCAGGTTTGAACTGTGGAGAGTATGAAGTTATTCTTCTCTCAGAAGCTCTGCATAGACTCAGCACCTTTGGCACAGTCACTTTTTCTTTAAAGAATGGCCTCTACTTGGAAAGGGGAGAGCATCCTTTCCTACAACTGACACAATGTTTGTGTTGTCCCAAGGCATTATTCTAACGTGAGGCACTTGGATTCAGGCATAGACACACGAGATTTCTATTGTCACCCTGTGGTAACCACTGGTGCTGGCATTTCACAAACCCTGACCTTGCTTCGTTAGGAAAATATGGGAGTGGGAAGCAAGGTTCCTCAGTCCCACTGTCATTTGGACAAATTCCAGTGAGTAGTCTATCCGCTTGTGGAGGCAAATCTTTTTGAATTTACATAGATTCACAGAATTTCAGAGCTGAAGAGATGTTAGAGATAGAATTTTGGCTCCATGGCTCACTCTAGTTTAGGGGAAAGTGAGGGCAAGAGTTCATTTATGGGCCTCCTGTCCTCCTGTCCTTAGCATTTTCCTCTCTGTGGCACTGGGTGCATGACTACGCTATTTAACCAATTCCTGAATTTGTGATTTATGAACCCAGGAAAGCATTTATCATTTGAATCACCCCAGAAGTATGTGTCAGAGTCAGGGAGGGAAAAATTTCTTCCAAAAACCCTGTTCTAGGCTATTTAAGATGGCTATCCTGGCCCATTTTGGAGGTTGGTACAAGCCTTGCTCATCCCTGGACTGAGTTCTCCCAGCCTGAATACTCGGAAGTACCAGGCCTGAAGCTTCCTATCAAGAATAAAACTGAAAATAGGAAGCCTTTGGTTGCTGACTGTGAAATAAACTTGCTTAAGCAGACTGCCAAAAGCAGTGGATCATATGAAAAGCCACATGACTAACCAGAAGTAATTGGAGCTTAAAAGGTGCCAGCGTCGATGAGTAAGATTTCTTTCATCAAAGGATCTAGTTAAAGCAAATTCACCCACTCACGAAGTTCTTAAGTGCCATTATCTTTTACCCTGGAACATTTAACTTGCCCTGATGTGGATTCATTAACACAGAAATGTCAGCTTTTATTGACTATAACTAGCTGTGCATTTATTTCTCTATTCAACACATCTTTAAAAATTACTGTTTGCTAGGTGTGCTGTAAGATACAAATAATATTTCCTTCATGTAACTTTTTCTGATTCCTCCAGTGTGATGTTATTTGTCCCTTTCCTGAAACCTAGCAGCTCTTTGTTTACAAGTCTCCGAATAGCTTTAAGACATTTTGCATTGTATTTAGCAAATTGAGAACATATCTCATCTTCCTACTCAGAACGAAGAGAGTTGAAGACAGACATGATGCTTTATAAATTTTTGTACGTTCTGTGGTGCTTAAAGTAGTCTTGGTGTAGAGTATGTTCTCAGCATTGTGGAATGAATGATTGAATATTTGTTGAATTGGATATGAAGTTGATTCAGCTTACGCTAAGTTATGCTACCTTAGCAAACAACCCCAAGATTTCAGTAACTTACAACACAATAGCTTATTTCTCATCTATGTTAATGTCCACCATGAATTTGATGCAACTCTACTTCTCATCTTTTTAATTCTGGGATCTGTGCAGGAGGAGCAGCCACTAATTGGGACAAGCCTACCTTGTGGCAGGGGAACAAGAGAGATGGCAGAAATACACGATGGAGCAAAAGTACGTATATCATTTCTGCTCAAATTTAACTGGTCAAAGCTAGTTATGTAGCTAAACTTCCCATGAGGGGCAGACAAATATAATTCACCCACAAAGAAGGCAGTGAATATTTTGGAATAGTAATAGAATCTACCAGAGAAGACATCCCTATTTTTAAGGAGGTTAAAATATAGTTGAGGAAGGATACACAAATAGCTACAGTTTTAAAAATGAAGTACAAGCAACCTGTTATAGAGGTAAGACGAAGGAGAGATTTCTTTTGACTGAGGTTAGTTACAGAAAGCTTAACAGAGGAATGTATCTTTTAGATTAGGTATTCAAAAGCAGGATCTTGTGAGAAGGAAATGGGGAAAAGCTGGTTAGGGGAATAGAAGAGTATTAAAAAAGATACAAAGGCACTCAGGCAAAAGGTGGACTCAGGAAAAGAGTCATAGTACACTTTTGGCATAGGGTAAGGTGCCACATAGAGAAATAATAGGGTCTTAAATTCCAGATTAAAGAATGTAGAGTCTATTTAGCAGGCAATGGAAAGCCATTGGAGGTTTTCGAAGCTAATTGAAGAATGGATTAGAGAGAAGCTGAAGACGTTTATGAGGCTACTTGAAGAGTCCAGGCAGGAGATACTAAAGGGAGAACCAGGACACTGACAAGCATCATGGACAGGACAGAACCTATACAGCCGATCTGCAAAGGAAATCAACAAAGCTTGAAAACTGATTGGTTTGGGGAATAAAGGAGGGAGAGAGAGAGAGAAAAGTTGCAGATGATTGGACTGTGGTGGTATCATTAATGTAATCAGAAAAATAAGAAAGAGAAGTGACTTGTAGAATGGTAAAATAAAGTTTTATTTTGTGGTGTTGAGTTTGAGGAATTTCAGATAGAAATGTTTAGTAGGCCTATGGATCTATGGGAAGAGAGTTTAGGGTCGTGAGTGTAACTGAATATGTAGACCTGTGAGACCTAAACAGGTGACAGTTGAAGCCATGGATGCAGATGAGAATATCAAAGGGGAATGGTGGCTGAAAGGCAGAGGCCTGGGGACTCTCCACATGCAGGGTGTGGCAAGATGAAGATAAGCCTGGAGGGACACTGGGGAGCATTGACAAGGAGGAGAGGAGAGGAGAACAGAACAATGTAGGATCAACTAAGCTGAGGCAGATGAGAACCTGAGCAGGAGGGAGAGTTCAACATGGTCAAATACTTTAGAGAGCACCAGGTGGGTGAGAACGTAGAAAGCTATATGGAACTTGGAAGAGGAGATCGTTGGTCACGGGTAAGGAAACAACTTCAGTAAAGAATGGAGTTGTTCTTTTGAGATAATTGATAACGAAAAGTATAGAGATTGAATGATGGAGGGGTAGTTGGAAGGGGTGGAATCAAGAGCACAGGGAGTGAGCTAACCTCGAGGAGGGCAGGAGAATACGCACTAAGAGAGAAATCGTCAGTGGTAAGGAATGACCTTAAGTTAGCCCTCACCGGGGTAGAGAAAAGAAATAGGCTCATTCGTTGAAATTAAAAAATAATTATGTGTTAATGAAAAATCAGATTAGATTTTTTTAAAACCATGTAGATAAAACTAATCAAGGGAAGCTAAAGGGACCTTCCAAGTGACTATATTGTACTCATTTTCCTGTATTCAATGTTCAGCACAGGGCCTGCTATATATTCATGTGCAATAAATAGTTATTGGGGAATATATAACTGGGCTTCAGGACTGATAATTTTAGGAAAATGTTTTTGTGATCTGGAGCTTATTAATTGGTCTAAGTGTCCTTTCAGTGGGAGAAGGGCATTTGAGGCCTTTTATGAGGGCATATAAGAGACTTTTTCTTCCTACCAGTTTGAGATTGCTGGTATCCCTTCAAAGTGGCTAAGCCATTTGCAACCCACAAAACTCTGGGGGAAATAAAACCCAACCAGAGAACAATTATGTTAAGCTAGGTTGCTATCAAGAGCGTCTTCGAGCAGGAAGAACTAGTGAACTTAGCAAAAGGGATGTTTAATAATATTTATTCTTTCATTCATGCTCACTCAAAACTCCACCTATTTACTGAGCACCTTGCAATGTGCCAGGTACTATTCTAAGGCTGGGATAGAACCTCTCCACTCATCTAGATTACACTGCTATGAACAAATAACCATATTATATGACGTCATGTAATGATAAGCGCTACCAAGAAAAAATAAAGCAGGTTAAAGAGATAAAAATTAATTGGGGCGGAGTGTGTGAATGGGACTGTTATTTCCTTGGAAGACCTTGGGAGATCTCTGATGAGAAAACAGAGATCTGAACAGAGATCTGAAAGATCTAGAGAAGCATGTTTCAGGCAGAGAGAACAGCCAATGCTAAGATTATTCATTCTTGAGACAGGAGTGAACTTGGCACGTTTTAGGAAGACCAAGAAGGTCAGTGTTGCAGGAGTAAAAGGAGCAGGTGAAGAGTGGCAGGTATGATGTTGGAAAGAGAGGCCAGATCGTGTGAGATCGTGAAGGCTTTTATTCTCAGTGTGATTGGGAAATCATTGGGTGGGTTTTGAGCAAGAAAGTAACATGTTAGGGATTATGTTTTTAGAGGATTGCTCTGAACTCTGATCTCTGAACGGAGATCATAAGAGGGCAAGGCCTGAAGTAAGGAGACCAGTTAGGAAGTTGCTGCAGTAATCCAGGAAGAGAAGGTGGAGATCAGAACAAGGATGACAGCAGTGGTGATGAAGAGAGGTGGAAAGATTCTAGACATATTTTAAATAACTTTATTGTGATATATTGAGATATAATTCACATACCATAAAATTTTGTTTAATTGTACCTATTAGAAGTGTCCAGTTCAGTAGTTCTAGAGATAGATATGATAGGACTTGATAATGGAGTGGATTCAAAGTGTGAAGGAAAGAGAGGCATCAGGGATGTCCCTTGGATTAGAAATTAAGCAACTGGATAGACAGTGTTGACATTTGCTGAGATGTAGAGAACTGGGGAGAAGAAAAGTACCTATGTCATTGGGCTAGGAGGTGACCTACAAGCACACAGAAAAATGCCTAGTATTTCATAAATTTAAAATATGTTTGGCTAGTCTTTTTCTTACATGACATTTCTTCTCTATTTTTGGACACAAAGAACAAGTCAAGGTCCGGTTACTGAAATCAGGATATAGAGTCCGAGAGTTTAAGCAGGAGACTGATTTGCTGTTCAGAAGCCAACTGTGGATCTAGGAAGTTTTATATATCTACTTTCAGGGCTTGGAGTAGTCTCTTGGTTATGGCATAGGATTAATTTCTCCTAGAAGCCAGATAACAAATTATCTTGTAGGATATTTTCTTTAGGAAGCCAGAGAACAAATGATCATGTTGGATATTTTTAGTGGGCCATAGCAGGGCTTCCGTTATTATCCTCTAATGGAGAAAGAATAAAAGCATATATCAGATGGTGTTATCCTTGTTGCCCAATAAATCATTGATATGTAAAATTTGGTGATCTCCACTGGGATTCCCCAGCATTAATTCTACAAGCCTGACTTCGTGATGTGCCAATAGCTTTTGTGTATTGTGTGTTTTTATACAGTAAATTTGTAAACAAGCTTTAAGATCTATATATACATACAAATGTATATAAGACTTAGGCTTAACTGCAATAATTCACATTCATTACTAAAATTATGGATAAAACAATTGGAGAAAGGCCAACTAAGTTGAATGTGGAGAGGGAAATCGAGAGATAAAATTATTTAATGGAAAGTGCTTGCTTTAGATTCTTGCTTTATGCTGAACCTTGGGACTCATTTGTTTCAGTTATCTACTGCTGTGTAACCAACCACACCGATGCTTAGTGACTTAAGACAACAACTTATTATCACCTCTTCTAGTTTTGTGAGTTGAATGAGCTTGTCTGGGCAGACTTCACTTGGGGTCTTTCCTGCAGTTGCAGTCATAGAGCTGCTGAGGTTGGAGCCACCAAAGGCTCAACTGAGCTGTGTCCCAGATGGCTTCTTAATCACATGTCTGGCATTTTTCTGCTCCTTTGAGTGGTCTTTCTTTCTATCAAAGTAACTTAGACTTCTGACATGGCAGCTCAGGGCTCCAAGAGGCAGGAAGTGGAAACTTACAGTCCTCACAAAGGCCAGACCTGAAACTGACACAATATCATTGCCACCATATTCTGTTGGTTGAAGCAGTCAGAGATCAGATCAGGAAGAGACTCCATCTTTAGATGGAGGTGTGACATGCATACAGAATGAGGGAAAGAATTGATGACAGCTATTTGGTAGACAAGCTACATTCAATCAGCTTATAACCATTCATTCACACAGGAATTGCCAACCCTTTTACAAAAGACTATTTTTTTAAAAAATTAATCCTCTGATTAATTAGATCAGGAAATAAATCTAAACTAAATGTCAGGTTACTAGCACTACATTAAGTCTATTCTATAGTTAGCAAATCAGAGATTTCCAGTTGTACTTTTCAAAACTTATCCAACAATAGAAAATGATTTTGACACAGAGATATTATCAAATCATTAGGTGCTATTCTTCAAAAAATAGATAAGCAGATTTGGAATCTCTTGCAACTCTTTGTTGGTTTTCAGGATCAACCATTTGAATGTTCTTTGATTTTGTTTTAAAGCCTAGATCTATAGGCCAGTGGAAAGAATAATTTCCAGAATCATCCTGGTCATAACTCTTGGTCAATGTGATGTATTCAATTTAACTGTACAGAGATTTAGTAGATATGAACTATCATATGTGCCTGGGTCAACCACGTCCTATGTATCAGAGCTAGAGTGGGGTTACACAAGAGTGGGAAATCAAACAAGGAGGTACCAGTTTGAGGTGGAACGAGTTCAGAACTGACCAGGAGTTGAAATGAGATTTGGTAGGAATCTGCAAGAGTTGGCAGGTACAAAATCAGGAGCCAACCAGGAGTACTGCAGGAGTTTCTGGAAAAGTGAGAAGAGCAGGCAGCTTAAGCAGGACAAGATTCAACAGAAGAACTGAGCAGCAACCCAAGAGAAACTCCGTCCCCACGGTAGCAGCTAAACAGCAATATAGAAGCAGATAAGTAAATTATTAACAAGCTGCTTTAAATAATTAAGAAGACAGAGATAGGGCAAGGCTAAAAGTGCAGGAAGTAGCAACTGAGAAAATATACTCATAAGTTGGACCAATAATTATTTAAGACAGGAAAGCTTTTTAAATTCAGCTGCTCAACCCCTTCCAGGCATCCTTAAAGAAATTTCCCTCAGACTGGACAAGAATCTGTAAAATCTCTAACACCCGTAGGTTAAGGAATTCCCCATTCTTGTTGTTATGAGGAGTTATTTCACTCACCTCCTGTAATTATAAATTTTCAGTTAACCCATGTAAAATGTTTCCAGAGTGTTTGGCACGTGGCACCCAATCAATGTTGGTTCCTTTCCTACTTTCTTTTAGTGGCACGGTACACAAAAGACCACTTAGCCAGAAGCAACTCCTGGCCCCATCTCATGAAGGTAGAACTGACCTGGTTTTATAAATAACATGTTGATTATTCTCAATTTGTTAGTGTCTCTCATGTAGCTACACACTACTGATCAATTTGAATAAAATTATAGTCATGATAGTTTTCTGAATTGTGCATGTAGATTCTAACATAGGAACAAATTTGATAGTCTTGAAGAGTGATTGCTTACACAGTGCATGAAATAGTTTGCTCTGATTCAAGTTCTTTTGAAATGAAGTTAAATTGGACCAACAGAGGTTAAGGCTGTCAAATGGAAAAGATTTCAGGGCCACACTTATCTTTGTGATAAGGACTTGGCCAAATTTTTTAGAAATTGGTTTCCTCATTTATTAAGAAATCTAAATAAAGATTTCTATATGAAGGTGGAATGACCTCAGAATGAACACGTTCATGAGAATTCAAGCTGTTACATCCTGTATTAGCAGAAATGCAGCAGCACACCCTGATATAGAGGGCCAGTGACGAATACCGTAATTCAAGTGAAGAATGGCAAAAGCAGTCTTAATTTCCAGAATGGCTCAGTTAATCAAAAGCCTGGAACTGTTCCCAGGATGCTTTTTTTAAGTCTAGGCAAAATGCTAAGATAACCTTTGTACAATTGATCTAACGCCAAAGGGATGTGAGAAAGTAGTTAGAGATCTGCATTATCAAAGAGGTTTTACAGAAAATAAAGTGATTTGCAGGAGACTAGGACAGAAAACGCAAACACAAATCATTTGTATGTGATGGTTGGGAGGAGAGTGGGGGAGGCCAGGGAAGCATTCAAGGGAAAGAAGAAACAGTTCTACAATGGGGAGGAAGTTCATCAGACTTCGGCTTCCCCAGAGGATAAGCATAATTTAATTATTGACTTGTACTTGGCACCAGATTTATTCTCCACACAAAGGCTTTAACTCAAACCTAGGAAAAACCCCAAGAGAGAGAGGAGACACTTTATTTGAAGGTGGGCACTGTGGATGAAATAATAAATGAAAATATTTTTATTCGCACTGGTAACTTCCAAGTGGAAGTTCCAAACCCCACAGTGGTCAAAGGAAAAGATAAAGCCAGATGAGAGCATAGTTCACCTCTCTGTGAAAAAGTATCCCTCAGTGATTACTTGGGGTTCATAGGCAGCTTTGTGTTATTTCAAAGTTCTTATAGTTGAGTCTAATTAGAGCACTCTCATCTTTCCAAGAATTTTTAATGACCAGAGTGTTTGGAACTTTGGCATTTCCTGAGAGGCTCAGACAAATCGCATAAATAATTCTAATTAGCCCAAATACAATACATTAGCGATGTAGTTCAAGTGCCGTCTGACTTTACCCACTCACTCCTTGAGATTTTACCTAGAAGTACGTCTGTCCAATTTGGCCAGCTGCGGCTATAAAATACTCTCTAAGAATGTCAAGTAACACAATAGATACCAGTAGGAGGTAGTTTTTCTCTCGCCTACCACCACTTTTTTGCAATTAGCTAAAGATAAAGATTCCAAACATAGCTTCTTCTATACTTCGGTAGTTCCACTTCCAGGTATATACCCAAGAGAAATACGTCCACCTCAAAGATATACAAAAATGTTCTTGGTAGCTTTTTTCATAATAACCAAAGACGTAAATGAACCAAAACGTCCATCAACAGTAGAATATCACAAAACAATGAAAAAGAGCCAGCTGTTGTCACATGCAACAACATGGATGAATCTCACAGACATAATGTTGAGTAAAAGAAGCTAGGCACAAAAGAATACAATTATGATTCCATTTATATAAAGTTCAAGGACAGGTAAAACTAACTTATGGTGATAGAAGAATAATGGTTATCTTTGGAGGATATTGACTGCGAGCGGGCACCAAGAAGACTTCTGGGAGGCTGGAAATGCTTTGTGTCTTCTCTGTGTGGTAGTTCCACAGGTATACACGCATGTAAAAAGTAATTGAGCTGTGTGCTTAAGATTTAAGCACTTTACTGTATGAATATTATACCTCAATTTTAAACCAATAACAAGAAAAAGAAACTCTTTCAAAAGTTTATATTTGGAAATCCAAAATTTAAGCTTATACTCAAGACACCGGCTCTTCATTGGTGATACATGGGTGATAAAATGATGGCTGTATCCAACAATTTCCTGTGCATACAGTTGTGGTCCACAATTTTAGAAAAGTAAGCATAATAGGAAATTTTAATCAAAATAGCTTTTCCATACATATTGGACCTCAATATTTATGATATAAGCGGCTGTTCATTGTGCCTATGATACACAGTACAGAGTGTGGGTTCATTTATTTTCAACAAATATTTTGGTCATTTCTTATTGTCTTGAGTTTAAAGAATATTCTTTAAGTATGGTGAAGTATAGGAACCTGACCCAGGTAAATAGGCCCCGTTATGAAATCCTCTTAACAAAGTTTATTTCAGTCTGCTTTGCTATGTTACGAATGCATTGCCAAGGGACATTAAAGAAAAGGGAGAGTAAGCCCTTCTTACAGAATGGTGTTACTTCAGTTTTCTTCAATAGAGTGGCCTCCCCATCATCGCTTCTCTGATTCTGGTAGCTAATCTTCAGGAGTAATCAATAAAAGTCTTAGTTTTAGATGTCATAAAAGAAAGAACCAACTTTTCATCAATTAACTTGAAAAAAATCCTTTACCTTGATTTGGTTGATTTTTTTAATGGTTCAAATAAACACTTTTTATGCCTGCAGGAAGCACATGGTTCCATTGCAAGGAGAAAAAGCTCTCTTGTCATTTAGGAGTTTTTATCCATTTAAGGGACCAACATACAGTAAACAACAGAGAGCACCGAGGAAGCCCCTGACAGGCAAGTTCCCACTAGGGTGCTATAGACATTAGTCATGAATGCCAAAGGAAGCCAAGAGTAAAGTCAAATGGGAGCAGTTTTAATCCCAAATAAATATAGTCTTGTTGGGGAACACTTTTTGCTGAATAAAACTTTATTGAAAGCTGTGCCCTAATACTCCGCAGTGCAACCAAATGGCTGGGAGAGCACTCAGGATCACTCCTCTTGTCTCCGATTCAATTTCAAAACACAATTTCTCGACTGCTGTTTTGAAACCATGAGAAAAGATCAATTGAATCTCGGCGGTGGTCATGGAGAAATAAAAAATTAACAACAAAATGCTGGAAATAAGCTTGAGCATTTTGCAGAACCTCAGGAAGCCAATGCTGTTAGGGGAGATCCCTGGCGCCTGAGGCCTGACAAGTGGAGTGAAACCCAGAGGAGTGTGGGGTTGGGGTCTGATTAACAATAATTTGGGGTGCATTCTTGCTTGCTCTTTCCTGAAAAAGGAGTCTTATACCAGTTATTTATAGAGAGTGGGTAAATTTTTCATCAGCATTTTTTGTAAGCTTCTGGAGAATTTATGAATATTAAAGTGACATTGGGACAAAAAGTCATGAATGTTATAATGTAGAATTTGGCAAGCAGTTATTTTAGTGTTTAGAATTAATTGATTCAGTATCCACTTGTGTTGAACACCTACTAAGTCTCAGGCACTGTGACATGTGGGTGTGCAAGGCAGCCTCTGACCTCCTGGAGCTTATGCTCTAAGCCTTTTTTTCATCTAAGAGAGTAATTATCTCCTATGGTTGTTGTGAGGATTAATGAGGTCAGGCATTTCAACTTTTGTTTCACATTGTGTGGCAAATAGAAAGCCCTCATTTTACATGCAGTTGCAGATGTAGGCATAGACTTATGTAGGACAGGATGCTGTGGGAACACATTGAAGGGGTACATCAGTCAACTTGAGGGCAGAACATTAGGGAAGGCCTCCTTGATGAGGTGGGTGCTAATATAAGACCTAAAGAATGAGTAGGAGAGAGCCAGGAGAGAGAGGAGAAGATTCCCTCCACAGAGTTAGTGGTATGAGTACAGAAGTGAGAGGCAATTGGCAGTAGTTCAGTATAACTGGAGAGCAGAGTTCCAGCTGGAGAGTGTTAAGAGAAGTGAAGTGTACCGGTAAACCAGCTCTGGGAGCGTTGGCTGATTTCCATAGCATGAATGTTCCTATTGTGGCTGATTTCAGCTGCCAGCACTTTAACAACTAGCATGCAAAATTTCTGGGTTTTTAAAAATCAGCTCTGCAGCAGATGCAAGTAACCTGAGTGTACCCTGATTGCTGGGTCAAGAGTTTGGATGGACTCCAGTTCCACAAGTAGCCACTGACATGCTTTCAGCCAGGGAAACAGAGCATCAGGTCAGAGTTTTACAAAGATCACTCTGGCTTCAGTGAGGAGGGGAGAGGGCAAGTCTGCAGGCAGGGAGGTATAATAATCCAGGCCAGAAATTACAGTGAATTTAGTGGAGGTAGTGGCAGCTGGGAAGCAGAAAAAAGTGGATTTAGAAGACATTAGAGCAACAGATGATTGATCAGATGTGGAAACTTAGGAAGGGGGAGCTTCTAAGGAGTAAGTCTGGGGTTGGGCTTGGGTGACAGGGTGGCCTCTGGCACCCTTCTCAAAGAGAGAGAATGCAGAGAGCAGAAAATGTTTGGGAGAGGGTAGACTCATTTACACGTTTGAACTTATTGGGTTTAGTTCCTCCTCCAAGTGATGACCTCCAGGATCCAGCTGGCTCTACATGTCTCAGTCCAGAGCGAGGTCTGGGATGCAGACTGAGATGTGAAAATTATCTGCATAGGGATAGTCGTCCAAGCTTTGCTAGTGTCTGAGATCCCCCAGGGAGAACCTAGAACAGACCCCATGGACACCGCTCTTTAAGGGATTGGGCCAAAGAAAAGGAACATAAGAGGGAGAGACAGGATGGATCCTTGGAATGAGAAACAGAACAGGATGATACTGTGGAGCCAGAAGTGAGCCTTTCAAGGTGGTAATAATTGGTGACATTAAACACTAAGACAAATCAGTAAAGACTGAAAGGCAGCTATTGGATTCAACTAGGAAGTGGTGAGTAGTGTCTTTGGCAAGAGTAGATTTAGTTAAGTCCTGTTGCAACAAGTTGGGTTATGAACACAAGGTGGGAAAGTGGAGGC